TATGAATCTTGCAATTCATAGATTCTAACTCACATATTTGATGCATCCACCATCTTGGAAGAAGGCATGGCTGACCAAATATTTAGCTCATCTCAACCTGTCAAATATATCTCCAAACAAAATTTTAGAACGAGAACTTTATATTGAGTGATATTTTTAACAAATTTAAGTAAACTATGGATGCTTGTTGCCTTTCTATTAACCATTAGAAGCCAAAAACTTGTGATTTTTTTTTTAAAAAGAACTCCTAATGTGGAAAGGAGAAACATAGAAATAGACATTACATTAAAAGATATGACAGATTATGTAATTTTCCAAAGAAAGTATTCCATGTAAATCCATTTATTATTATTTGGCATATAAATGTTAATAATACTGCTCTAGTTTTTTACATTAATGACATTAAAATTCAAGGGGCGAACGCGCATCTACTGTCTTTCACAGGTTGTATAGTGTGTAAGCAGTTTTGTATGAACACAAAATTGGTTTTGAAATGATGGAAAATTTAAAATAGAGACAGAAAATAATATCTCAACTTTTTTTTTTCTTTAAATCTATTTGTCTTTCTCTCCCTCTCTTGCCCTAAATCTATTCATGACACTTGGTGTCATTTTCTTCATCTTCACCATTGAATTTCATCTTTTTCTTTTGTATACCAGAAGTTGTTTAGCTCCTCCATTGTCTCTCTCTCTCTCCCTCTCCCTCCTTGAACCATTTTGAGTACTTAAACTTCTAATTAAGCATGGCTAATGAGATGGTTACATCAAGCCAATCGTCCCAGACCAGTACTTATTTTCGATCAATCAGCATCTTGGTTGTGGATGATGATACCACATGTCTTTCCATTGTTGCTTCTATACTTAAATCATGGAATTATGAAGGTACTAATATATATATTTTGTGAGTGTTTTTGTTAACTTATGTTTAAGGGATCTTTTAAATGTTAGTGATTTTGAAAAGCTTTGTTTGCATTTTCTTCTTCTTTTTTTTTTTTTTTCCTCCTAGAGATTTCTTCCTTTTCTTTGAAACCACTTTTCGCATAAGAAGTTGAAGTGAGAATTTATCACAAGGTATAGAGTTGGGATGTCTATGGCTAATACTTTTGGAGATTAAAAATTAAATAAAAAAAAGGTGGTTCATCTTCTCCATTTTATGTCCCGTGGACCAAAAAAAAGATTTGCTCTCCTTTTTAATGGCATCTCTCTCTCTCTCTCTCTCTCTCTCTCTCTCTCTCTCTCTCAATATATATGTATATTGTTTCTTTCCACAATTTCTCCATTTTTCCTTACGACTTTATTTTCTTTAGTGCCTTAAAAATTTATTAGCAAACAGATCTATTTCTCCATTCAACAATTGAAATAAAATGAAAACTTGTTGCTTGCTTATTACTAAATTAATTATGAGTTCCTCATAAAATTGGATCTAACAGTCAATTTGATTGTCGGTTGTATACATTAATTCACTGGACTTTTTTTTTATACAATTTCATCAAAATAATTTATTACTGCAATTGGAGAGGATTCATGTACATGCAACTCAGATCCGTGACTTATGTGTAATTTCAAATGATCTATATTTTTGTTGATTGTCTATGACCTATTATTGTTCATTTCATCTTATTTATACGAGTTCATAAGGAGTGTATGCATTTCAAATTTTTGGTTCTAGGAAGTTCTAACACAAGATTTACTTCTTAGTTTATCTCACTTGCCAAATCGTTCTTGTGCTCTAATCTCAGTTGTGACAGTCAAACATCCAATTGAAGCTTTATGTACCCTAAGAATTAGGGGTGGCTCCTTTGACCTTGTAATAACGGATGTGCATATGCCAAACATGAATGGATTCAAGTTACAAAGGCAAATTCATGAAGAGTTCAAGTTACCTGTAGTTTGTAAGTATCATTTTAAACTGTAAGTACCAACCTAGTTGATAGGTATTATTGAGCTATGATGCAATTCAGTCAAGTCCTCATCTTATACTTTTCATTATCAATAAAAATTTTATTTTGATGATAAAAAATATATATATATATATATATATATCATTTTAAACTATTACTGTTGAAAAAAAGAAATTACAACTTTCGCATTGTTGTATTGAAATTGATGATCCAATAGAGTTGACTATTTTTTTTTTCTTGGCCCCCCAATTTGTCAAGCCTTTTTGGCTATCAATCATTTTCTATATTGGATCCTAACAAGAGGAACAAAGACACTTTTACTGTCATACTTTAATTTCCTTTCCAGTAATTCATAGCGGCTATGTAGCTGTTTTCACTTTTGGGGATATAATTAAAAAGATTTCTAATAGCAAATATGTGACGAAACCACCAGTATCACATCACCACACCTCAACACAATCAATAAGAGAACTTTTTTTTATGGCCACCATGTCTTTCTGAAGGCTTAGTCCTAAGGAGGTCATGAGTTCAATTCCCCTTAGAGTGGTTGAATTAAGGGAGTACAAGCACTTAGGTGTTTTGCCAAGAGTGAGAAGATTTTCTCTCATAGGTGCTAATCTAACAAACTAACAACTAACATTTGCCGATCAAAAAAAAAAAGGAAACTTTTTCATATGTACTCCATTGGGATACATAATTGTAACTTAAACATTTGTAGATTTTGTTTAGTATATATTAAGCTTTTGTTGGGTCGTGGCCAATTTTTTTCCTACTGCAGTTATGTTGATTGATAATAAAGACAGTATCATATTAAAGGGGTTACAAAGCTGGGGTGCATTTTTCATAGTAAAACCGATTGCCCGAGATGACTTGAAAATTTTATGGCAATATACAGTTGCAAAGAAGAAAGGCAAAACCATTATCGAGGAAATTGGGAGTGACGAAGAAATGTCGGTTCAAGAAACATCCCAAACTGACAAAGATTCTAATGATGATGTAGAGTCTACATCATCTGCAAATGAGTATAGGAAAAGCACGAAGGAGTCTAAGAGAAAAACCATGATAAAGGACACAAACAATTCTGACAAGGGAGAAAACAAGGACAATTGTTCTACCCCGAAGAAGGCAAAGGTTGTCTAGACAAATGCACTCCACAGCCAGTTCTTGGAAGCCATTAGAAGCATAAGCCTTGAAAGTAAGAGATTTCTCTAGCTAATTTTTCAAATTCTTTAATCTTGACTTGTATATTCATGGCTCTCCCATTTACTTTATAATGATACCCTTGCTGATTGTTATTTTTTTTTTCTTTTCTTTTATTTTTCTATTTTTTTTTTCTTTTAATAATATCCAGGGGCTGTTCCAAAGAAAATTCTTGAGCTCATGAACATGCCAGGATTAACTAGAGAAAATGTTGCCAGTCATTTACAGGTTTGTTATATTTCGTTACAAATTATTTATATTTTATATATAACTCAGTTTGTCATCTCTTGAATCTATATTAATATACAGTCTTGCTTCTTTTGTAATAAACTAAAATTAAGAAGCAAAACGGTCTAGAAAATTTAACTTACCTCAAACATTTCTATTTTAACATGTCAATCTACAAGCTTAAGATATGAAACTTAGTAACATTAGAATATTGATGATCTACACACACACACCAGAACTTGTGCTGCTTCGCTCATGAAACACTAAATTGCAAATAAATGGTCATCCCTTGTTACCAAAATTACTTCATATACTTGAAATTGGATGCATAATCTTTCAAGTACCAAAAATACTATAAATAAGTAGTTAAAATAAACAATGTAGGTACTTTTGCGTGTGTTTATCAAGAAGGAAAATAAAAAAACCTAGACAATTGGAGATACTAGAAAACTTTATCCACTGCAACCAAGATTTTAAAAAGCAGCCGCAACCGTCATGTAACGCAGTTATATAATAGTTGTGGTGCTTACCACCACTTGTTACGGCCGCTATAGCGATATGACGGAAATTCATATTTGTAACGGCGGTTTCGGTGGTACGTTCGGTTTTTTTTTTTTATCAGCAAATGAAGGAATTGTATTGACGAAGAAGAAAAACCATCTAAGTGTGAAGATTACTTGAATAAAAAAAGGCAAGAAACAAGAAGTATCAAAGTGATTCATTATAATCCCAACTAGGTTGGTGTAGACACCCCATTTTTGACCGTCCTCAAGACTTGGACGTCGCCTTTAATACTTAATTGTAAATAATTTTATTTAGCTAGCTATAAAGTGGGAATGTTTGTGTTAATTGGGAAGGTTTGTGTGAATCTATATTAATGCATACAGCCTTATGGGTAAAATACCAAGTAAAAAAGTTGTGTTATTCTTTTAATAATTGTAAATATTTTTTATTTAGTTCATGTGTTGGTCAAAAAAATTTGTAAATATTTAAAATCAATTGTTTAAAACTTATTAACTATTGAAATAAAATTAAAATCTCTTTTTATAGTGATTTAAAAATATGAAATATATTGTATCATACTTAAAAACTAACAAAAATTGATCAAAATCTATTTTAAACCCCAATAAATGTATATTGGTAATTTTTTTTAAAATTTTGCGAAAAAAAAAATAACATTACGGTTTTGATTACCGCAACCGTTACGCTATGTCCTTTACATCTGCAACTATAATTGCGCCATCGCAACCGTTATGGCAACAGCAACCAATGACTGAGATCAATGAGAAGCAAGATCTGAGTGAAATAATTATAGTTCTTAGTACTTTGTAGCAGTAATCATTGTCTAAACTCAATAATGATGGAATGAATATGATGAATTTGCAGAAGTATCGAATTTTCTTGAAGCGAGTTTCTAAAGCAAGCTATAAAATCCAATCTGCCAGTGAAAGGAACATGGTTGAAAGGACCTTTCGATCAACTTTCGCATCGGGACAACCTTCTTCCTCAATGTTCAATAGATCGCAGCTGCGATATGGAGGCACTACAAGAAAATCAGGTTTTAGCAGCGTTTTTTATTGCAGTGGCCTGAAAAATACTACTATAGATGGGCTATCGTAGCGGTTATTGACCACAACTAAAAATTTAATTTTTAGTAGCATTTTTTTCCTAACACGCTGCCATATTTTTTTTTATAGTGATGGTTTGTACTCAACCGTTACAAAAACCCAAGCAAAATAAACGCCCGCCAAATTCAATTCTCATTTCGCGCAGAATCAAATTTTTTTTTTTTGGGTGGGTTTGGGTGAATAACATATCAGAATTTCAATCCACAAAAAAAACCGTTCAACTCACAATTTGTGCCCTAGTCTATCAACACTTCTTTTACGAAGTATCAGAGCCTTCCTTCATCCTCTCCTGCGGCGTATTGACGACATCAAGCTATACAACATCACTGTGATTTCAAGGTCAGTTTGCTCTCTCTATTTCTCTTTCTCTATCCCTCATTTTCTTCTTGTCTCTCGATTTTTCTCTCTACCCTTCTCTCTTTCTTCTACTGTCTTAGTTTCTCTTTTTCCCTTACTGTCTTCAATCAAGTTTGGGTAAATGAAATTCATTGTTAAGCTGAGACTTGCCATCCATTCATTGCTTCTAATATCTCCAAAACTTCTCTACTTTGAAGGATTTCATGAACATCTTAAATGATTTTGATTTGGGAAAATAATTTAAAAAATAGATTGATTAACATGTTCGGTATTCTGATTTTTGATCATCTATGATATTCATATTTTAACCAATATAATTAGTGAAGTGAATGGATTGTTGCTGATGCTACCCAATAAAATCTCGTGCTTGAGGAATCATTATGTATGCTAGGTGTTTGATAAAATGCCACAATGGAGTAATAGTGCCAACATTTTTGTTTATTGGTTTGTTCTGTTTTGCTCCTTTTTTTCTCTTTTTTTTTTGTGAGAAAATTGTTGTTTATGAATTTAATGCACAATTTGTAATGTTTTGTATGAATTTATGATGCTATCTATTTTCAACAAAAGCTAGCCTTCTTTTTGCCACCTGCACTGTAGAATCCAGTTGGTCAATCTTAGTCAATAGAGTTCTTAGGGGACATTATTTGATAGCATGTCTACTATGTGATTCTATTTTGCCTACAATTTATCCACTCATGCACGGATATGATAGAATGGGCGTGGATGAAAAAGAGAGGAAAAAAAAAAAGTAACAGCTTTTGTTAGCTAGGATTTTCTTTGATGGATTTAATAAGTAGGTATCTGTGGAGGACTCAGGAAAAACATTAGCCTTATTAAATGTTACCTTGTACATATATTTTCCTACCACTCAGCAGGTTTGCTGATATAAAGAAAAATATTAGTGAAATGTTAAAGGTGGCTATTCCCTATTGGATATACACACACACATCTATACATGACAGGACATGGAGGAGATGAATTTTTAAAATTTCAGGACTCAAAGTAGCTTCAAAGTCACGATTTAGCCGATGCAGTGAAACAAGTGAAGGCAAAGTGTAGGTGAGAGCATGTCCTAAATGCTACATCTGTCTGTTTGGTCTTTTTATACTAATTAACTTTCATTATATTTTGATTGTGCAATAGAAAGACAATATGGTTTCAAACAATCATGACTAAGCATATAAATATAATAATTGCTATTAGTTAATTGTGATTCTAGAAAGGTCTGTTATATATATATGTCGATCTTATGTTGAAATGCTAGTATGTATATAATATAATGAGGCCTTCTTCATGGGTGTATACAATTACAAGTTAGGTGCTCCTTTTTAAATGTTAATCTTCACTTTCAAGTAGTGAGCTGACATGCTCTTGATTATGATCAAAATTCAGATTCAAGGAGCTGTTGATAATGGTTGACACTTGCCAAGTTGCTACTCTCTTTGCTGGTATGGAGTTTGGGGAGTAGAGCTGTTATGGGCTGCTGATTTAGAGCTCTTTGCTGCTGACCTGGTTTTGCTCTGGGCTACTGGTATGGAGTTTGGGAAGTAGAGTTGTATTCTGCTTTCCCTTGGGTTGGTGTCTTACCAACTGTGGGTGGTGTTAGTCTTTGCTCTTTGTCTTTTTATTGATAATTGTCAATGTATTTGCTTGATTATTATCAATAAAATTTCTCTTTGGCTGTTTAAAAAAAGAAAAAAAAGTAGCTACTCTCTTTTCTCAGGTTTGTGGTTATCCTTCTAAATGCTGTGACTATTCTATTTGTGTAATATTCTACGGACTCCTATTCAATTTTTCAGTTCACATTTTGTCAGCTTGTTTGGAAATTTAATTTATTAGACCAGTTTGAGCGAATATCCTGGTAAGTGGTTTGAATGAAAAATCAATTTTACCTCCAGTTTCTTGAAGATGCACACTCCACAGTCCATATGATAAAGACTACAAGAAACCTATGAAAAGCTAGGGTAGAGCCTTACTCATATTGACATTGTTTCATACCTTCTTTTTTAGATGGTTGGCTTGGCTAAATCTCCCAGTTTTTTAGAATACTTATTAACCTCATTAACTCATATGTTGTCCTTTTTCTAAATTTATGCATACTTATGTAAATTTTATTGTATAAATTAGGCGACAGATGTATCTAGTGGCATTCTAAAAAAGGCTTCTCCACAAACACATCAAAGATTCTCTTTTGGGAGTCATGAAATGCGACCTTCTAATCAGGGTAAGTCATCATTACAATACACATATATTGACACAAATTTAGAGCCATTGTTAATGACTTCTTTACCAATAAATTGTTAGTTAGTTTGGACAAAATTGGGATTTGATAGGTTGACTTCTCTACTTTGCTTCCTTTATTGGCATCCGTAAAAATACCAAACAAACCAGTGAAATAGAGAATTGGGCAATCGAACAAATATGAATATCAATGTATCAAACTGTAATATACAATTAAAAATAGACCCTTGGATGTTGCTATTGGTTGCTTGATTTGGTGGCTGCTACTACTGTTTGGCTTTATTGGCTGATTCAGTCCAAATGCCAGCCTGCTAGTCGCTTGCTTACATGTTCTAAGCCCTTTAGATGTCTTCAAGCATATCTAATCTTAGAGATCAACTTGTAGTGCTTAAAGAACAACACCAAGAACTAATGCAGAGTTTTTTTCGTTGGGTTGAAAAGAAAACAAAAAATAGAGGAAGAAAATAGAGAGGAGTGGGTTTCATCATAATGCAGAATTATTTTTTTTTGCTAGTATGGAGTGGGTTTCTTTGCTACCTTTGTTTGGCTTTAAATTTTATTGTATAAATTAGGTGACAGATGTATCTAGTGGCATTCTAAAAAAGGCTTCTCCACAAACACATCAAAGATCCTCTTTTGGGAGTCATGAAATGCGACCTTCTAATCGGGGTAAGTCATCATTACAATACACATATATTGACACAAATTTAGAGCCATTGTTAATGACTTCTTTACCAATAAATTGTTAGTTAGTTTGGACAAAATTGGGATTTGATAGGTTGACTTCTCTACTTTGCTTCCTTTATTGGCATCCGTAAAAATACCAAACAAACCAGTGAAATAGAGAATTGGGCAATCGAACAAATATGAATATCAATGTATCAAACTGTAATATACAATTAAAAATAGACCCTTGGATGTTGCTATTGGTTGCTTGATTTGGTGGCTGCTACTACTGTTTGGCTTTATTGGCTGATTCAGTCCAAATGCCAGCCTGCTAGTTGCTTGCTTACATGTTCTAAGCCCTTTAGATGTCTTCAAGCATATCTAATCTTAGAGATCAACTTGTAGTGCTTAAAGAACAACACCAAGAACTAATGCAGAGTTTTTTTTGTTGGGTTGAAAAGAAAACAAAAAATAGAGGAAGAAAATAGAGAGGAGTGGGTTTCATCATAATGCAGAATTATTTTTTTTTGCTAGTATGGAGTGGGTTTCTTTGCTACCTTTGTTTGGCTTTTGTGATGCTTTATGGAAGCTTAGGTGTTGTTTGGTTTGGTGTGTTTAGAGTGAACCTGGAATATATGGAGCAATAAAGGTAGTGTGTAATTTCTTTGTATCTTTTTATTTCCTTCCTTTTGTTGTGGTTGGTATCTCTTGTTAACCCTTTTGTTTCTCTTAGTTGAGCTTGCACATGATTTTGCAATCCTTCTTATGCCAACCTAGTTGGAACGAGTTAGGTTCGCTATGATGCAATCTCAATTTTCCTTGTTGGTTGTTGTATTTCTTCTTTATCTTTAATAAAGAGTGCTCTATTTGGCTGATAAAAAATAATATGCAAATATGATCTTCAACTTCATTGTAATCTTTATTTTTTGATATGTAAACCACATACTTATCAAAAATACTTACCCAAATATTCTTTGGGTAAGTATTTTTATTTTTTGATAATCTTCAACTTCATTGTAATCTTTATTTTTTGATATGTAAACCACATATTCTTTGTATCTTTTTATTTCCTTCCTTTTGTTGTGGTTGGTATCTCTTGTTAACCCTTTTGTTTCTCTTAGTTGAGCTTGCACATGATTTTGCAATCCTTCTTATGCCAACCTAGTTGGAATGAGTTAGGTTCGCTATGATGCAATCTCGATTTTCCTTGTTGGTTGTTGTATTTCTCCTTTATCTTTAATAAAGAGTGCTCTATTTGGCTGATAAAAAATAATATGCAAATATGATCTTCAACTTCATTGTAATCTTTATTTTTTGATATGTAAACCACATACTTACCAAAAATACTTACCAAAAAAATAAGACTTGTGGAGAATTATTTGTAATTTAAATTTTCTATGTAGATTTTAAAATTGAAAATGATACTTATGCTCATTCAATTATTTTTATTGCAGGAAATAAGACAACATGAAAGCATCAAACAATGGACGCCATTTCTCGATCTGAACATTTTTCATGGAGGTCTTTATAAAATGGCGTCATGAGGAATACTTTTGAGTATATTGTTATGTGACAAGTTTATATGTACCTTTTGTATTATGGTGTGGCTATTAGTTTGCTAGAAATATTTGATCTATTTTGGTATGACAAGCTTATGTAATGAACCTTTTAATTAAGGTGTTTTGGATATTTTGGGATTATGAAAATGCAAACTCTTTAATCTTTTACAGTTATTGAGTATTGAGCCATTAGAATAAAATAGTGCTTTTATAGATATATAACGTGAGTAGGGATAAGTGAGAGACAACAATTAATGGTTACCAAACCATTGAAAATTTCAAGCTATATATTATTGGTAATTGAAGAGTAAACATAGCATATAACCGCAGTTAATAACGGTCGCTGCAAATAAAATTCAAAAAAAAAATTATGGCTATAGCGACAGTGTAAAATTGATGGAATAGAGTCAAAATATAGCAGCGGTTCACAAAATGTCGCAAAAATGAAGGATGTAGTAGCGGTTAACTTGTCGCTATAAAGTTATCAAGTCATGGTTATATTTAAGATATAGTGACATTTATAACCGTCGCTACAGCAACCGTCGCAATAAAAAAACTTATACCAGCGTTTCACAAAAACGTCACTATAAGGCTATGCTGACGGGGCTATTGTGGCGGTTTGGCCGCCGCTATTGCAACCGCGGGTAAAGGTATTCTAGTTTTTAGCGGCGCTTTTTCTTGCTTTTAGCGACAATTTTGGCCGCTGCTATAAGTGAATTTTTTTGTAGTGAGGGTATGTCCTAGTTCCCAACCTTGGCAATAATATTTCAGGTTGTTCTACCCAGGAAGCTTCATCTACCAACTTCTCCATGCGTCGATTCGGATGCACCCAATCACTTCTACTATGCAATCAAGGTAATTTGAAGAAACCAACCATTGGCAATGGTAGTGCAAAACGTCCTTATAATCATCAAACCAGTTTGTCGCTCCATGGAAATACTTCAGGTGGCACTGGCCTCATGACTGGTCCAAATTTGTTCGAAATGTACCAACAAAAGAATCAACTAGCACCACAGACACAGAGCTTTAACAATGGCATGTTGAACTACAATTCTACTACATCTGGAGTTCACGGCTACAATGATATCGGTGTCACAGGCTATGGAAAAATTGGGGTCTTTCAACAGTTCTAATAACTTGAACCTTAAACCTAAACCCAATAGCAATTCCTACAAAAATAATTATGCTGGATACCAAATGGCCGGTGATGGGAGGCTTGTTGGATTAGGATTTAAGGGTGGGGAGGCATCAACAAATTATAACAGTAACAATTTCTTGATGAATGGGAAACAAAATAATGAAAGTATGATTACTATGCCGTTGTTGAGTGGCAATTTTGGTGATCATTTGGCACAAGGAATGATCACTTCTAATGGGTTTCAGAGCCAAGGTCAAGTCTCGCCAACAACATTTAATTGAGCCATTCAACGAGAAAATAATTCAGTCATCCCAATGCCACCCACATCTCTAGTGCAACAAAACAGTTTTGGGAATGAACGAGAAGAAAGTGACCGTTTCTTTGGTCTGTTGAATAATGTCTCAAACTTTGATAGCAACTCTTTCATACAACCATTTGGAGAAGATGATCTTAGCTTTAATTTCTTGAACCAAATCAACATTCAATCTCCAACTCAGGTATGGAAAAAGCTTCTGTTACTTTTACTAGCTGAACAAAAATTGTTAATCTTCTTGGAACTTTATATTTTCTATCCCAGACTGCATAAAGTGATACAATAATCTCTCTTTCTGTTTTCTGGTTTTTAAATGTGTAACAGCAAGATGGTTCTTTCAGTCAATGTCATGTGGAAGCTAACCCATTAGTGAACCAGCAGTCCCTTGGACAGGCATGTACCCACTTAATTAATCCATAATCAATATCATGGTTGATTGAATACATATATATATATACTTTTTACATATGAATGTTTCATTTTACTCCAAAGTAGTTCATTCAGAAACCTGGTGGTAGTGAGATGGTCTCAAACTTTAGCAGTGTCAAAGAGTCAATCAGATAAATATGTTCCATCATTTGAGGAGAACCCTAGTCAGGCAAGTTTTGTGTCTACTTGATTTGAAACTCCTTCCCTTGATAAATAAACTGTATAATGGGGTTCCTCTAAATCTTTTTAGATTTTAGATTAATTACACCATTATTATTAAAGTAGGCATTTTGTTGTATCTTAATTCCCAATCATTTACCAAATGTAAATTTAAATGATCTCAACTAAGTCATGGGAATCGGTTGGGATTTAACAGTAATATTAGAGATCTCAAAAATTCTATCAAAAGTTTTACCAAATATCTCACATGGGTGTGAGACTCACACAAAGTGGATTTCATGTGAGTCTCACATCCATGTAAAACATTTGATAGAATTTTTGGTAAAATTTTTTGATTCTTTAACATTTTTGAGACTTAAATATAAGACCCAAACCATGAGTTTTGACTGATGAATAGGTTAAAAAATCTTTCAAAGCCAACGTTGACTTCAGGTAAGTCCAAAGCCCAGCTTGGCCATATGAGCCTAATTTGAGGTTTAATTCAAATTTCTTTTCTTTTCTTTTTTAAATTAAAAATTTATTTATAATAAAAAATTTTAAAATGCATTACAAAAATTAGATTTTTATATTGAATCATAAAAAAATTAAAAATAAACCTTATTTATTGAATTGTGAAATTAATACACATTATGGTTATGTTATGAAATTATATGTATCATTAATCTAGTGACAATATAATTATTAATATTATAGTTGGCATCCTACTCATTTAATTTATTAGTTTTAATTTTATTCTTTTATTAAAAATGCACACATACACAAAAAAGTTATTTTGTAAAAAAAAGAAAGAAAAAGAAAGAAAAGACAGAGATGTACCTGCATATGAAATTAGACTTTATATGCCTGGTTTTGGGCTGGGCTCTAAAGAGTCCATTGGAATGAGCTGATGGGCCGACCCACGGACCCTCTCTTTGGGCTTGAGCTCACTACATAATGTATTACGAATTGCGATTCCATGCCCATGCATTCTATTGTATTAAGAG